TGAACTGGACTCTAAATGACATCAGACAAATGGATTCTAAAACAAGAAAGCTTCTTTCTAAATAAGATGCATCATCCAAAGGCTGATGTAGACCGTCTATACATACCCCGTTGGAAGAGGTCTTATTCAGCTAGAATTGTCACAACTATTGGCTTACTAACTTACATGGAAACAACAAATGACTGGATGATAAAATTAGTGAAACAACATGAAAACAGAAAGAAAAAATATTCAATAATAAAAGAAGGCAGTAAATACAAACAACATTTTACATTTAGTAGATTCTGTAGTAAAAATCAAAACAGAAGCCAAGAACCAACTATTGCAGCAAAAAAAGATATGAAAAAGAAAGCCAAGGATAAAGCCCTTGAACAGATGAAACAACGCTGGCAAGACAAACCTCTGCATGGCCAATATCCAGAACGTGCAAATAAACCCAATGTTGATAAAGTTAATACTCATCGATGGTTACGAGCATCTGGATTAAAGTCTGAAACTGAAGGCTTTTATTCTTGCAGCGCAAGACCAGAGTCTTTTCACTAGGAATTTTCAGGCAAATATCATACATAATAATGTGGATCCAAAATGCAGGTTCTGTGACAAATACCAAGAAACAATAGACCATCTAATCTCAGGATGTTCTATACTTCAACCAAATGAATATAAAAATCGTCACGATAGAGTGGGGCAATACTTACACTGGACAATGTGCAAACACTTTGGAAAATGTGTAAGCAAACACTGGTATGAACATCGGCCAGCGCCGGTTACAGAAATAGAAGATGTCACCATTCTATGGGATTATACCATCCACACAGACAGAAAAATTGAAGCAAATAGGCCGGACATTATTGTCAAAAACCAGAAAAGAAAAAACTTTGCCTACTAATTGATATGGCTTGTCCAGCGGATTGTAACATAGCAACCAAGGAATTTGAAAAACTATCAAAATACAAAGACCTGAAATTGAAATAGAAAAAAATGGAAATTGAAAACAAGAATAATACCAGTGGTAATAGGTGCACTTGGAATTATAAAAAATGGAACAAAACAACACATTGAAAAAATCCCTGGAAACCCCAGCTTAAGAGACATACAGAAAATTGTCTTATTAAGTACAGCACACACACTAAGGAGAACTTTGTCTATGTAACGCTAGCAACTTCATCGGAGATAAAAAAAAAAAAAAAAAAAAATTAACATGAAATGTGGCCATAACAACACACCACGACCTGCCTTAGGTCTTTCCGCAGACTTGGTAGGTAGTGTGTCCATAGCAGAAATCGAATGATGATGATGATAATAATAATAATAATAATAATCTCCAGTTACGGAGATAGGACCTTTTACAATTTTATGAGACTACATAATACACACAGGCAGAACAATCAAAGCTACCTGCCCAGATATTGTTATTACAAACCGCACACAAAAAAATGATATGGCAGTCCCTGCAAATTGCAATGTATCTTTGAAGATCTTCAAAAAGCTATCAAAATACAAGGACCTTGAAGTCGAAAGCTCAAAAATGTGGCACATAAGAACTTCAACAATCCCTGTTGTAGGTGGAGCCATCGGAATGGTTGGAAAATATTCCAGTAGACTCATTGAAGGGATTCCTGAAGCCTATGCCTAAAAATACGAAAAAAAAAAAAATTACGAACAGCTTTAAAATTAGTAATTTTGAAGAGGTTCAAATCATTTAACCGATCACACTATACCCAGATATCTTTTTTTCCTGGAGGGATAAAATTCATTAAAACATAGGTTGCGCTTTTATGAAAAAGACTCATGCACGAACATATACAGTAAATGTAATTAAAAAAAAATTAAAATCCCTTTAACGAGGTGGGGTTAATTTCTTTTATTGCTTTTCGTCACATGTAATCATTAAAATAGTTTTTGTACATTAATAATTGTGTAATGACAAAAATACGCAGGTGGAGGCTTTAATAAAATCTTTATTCAACTGAGAATACAAGGTACGCGTATAGTGTCCTTTTATAGTCCCAGTAAATTGAAAGAGCTCTTTCAAAGAGGAGAGTAAAAAAAAACAAAGAGAGACCACTAGTGATTATTCATAACAAATAGTATAATAAGATTAATAATAGTTCATTCAACAGCCGACAGAAAAGACGCAGATCGAAGTTGACATATTTTTTCCTAAATATAATCACACATTAAAACATTAAACAGGCATATAGGATTATTCAGAGTGTATAAATTCCACTAAACAACAACAACATTCCTCGGAATAGCAAGTTCATCTACTTTCTTAATTTATCGTCTCGTTGAAAAAGATTACAGGCGTGTCTGAAAATTCCGGATTTAAAATCTTTTTCTTCATGCCGTAATTTATTCAAAACGTTAATATATAATGAGCAATCTCATTGCCAATATTGTTACCATCTTCTCCCTCAAAGTTTATTAACAGGTCTATTAAATTTACATATTATAAGAATCACACGTGGACCATCTTTCCTTTTAAATATATATATATATATATATATATATATATATATATATATATATGGTACGATAAATGAATTAATGTCTAAATAACACAAAAATGAAAATAAAACTGATATATCATTTTATCATTTGCCAAAATTACACAAAAATATCTTGAAATACGAAGGTGTATATTTATTCGATAAAATCTATGTAAAATATTTTCTTTTCTTTTTCTTTCTTTCTTTTTTTTTTTTTTTGTCAGTGGAAAATGTCATGATGCCATTTCTAACATTAGATCTCTGGTTGGGACCCGGAAAGAAAAGTGTACACACCAGAAATCAAACAAAATAATAATAATAATAATAATAATAATAATAATAATAATAATGAGTTGTTTTCTTAATATGTGATATGGAAATAATTAATGTTTGTTTGTTGTCCGATAAAAAAAATAAACTTTGTCCTCGTCTCTCATTATCGGCGAACGTCACACTTAATTACTATAATTAGGAATCACATCTGTTGTTCTTTATATCTACCAATCCCAGGATAATTACATTCTAAGATGCTTGGAATGGTTATTGCGACAATTCTCTCTCTTTCTATCTTTCTTCTCCGTACACACACACTCGTGCACGCTCGCGCACACACACACAGACAATCAATATTAGGTTGTATTATTCAAATCAATGTCTCCATAATAAAATTGGTTACTAAATATTAGGTATTCGTGAAATGTCCAGCATATACTTTGAATTTTTCGAAACAAAATGTGCTCTCCTCCAGAAGGATTCGAAGGAGGGTACATTCTCTTTATTAAATTTTCTCGAGCGAATAGGCCGGTAGACGAAACAAACACTGTTGAAATAACGCAGCGTCTACTTAAATACGGGTATCCACTAAAAATAACGTTTGTAGTGATAAAAAGAGGTCGCATTAAAAAAATAAAATCAATTAATTCTTTAGAAATTGCTTTGTTTACATTTTGAATACGAAACAACAGATATGCCTTCGAGAAAAATCTGAACGAGTGAATGTGCTTTAAAGCAAATAAAATCTTGCTGGACTGTGAAGCTCTCCGTAGCCGAACGATAAAAGCACACCAGATAAGACGGTAGTTTCTCCTGAAAAGAGGGACGCAGGTTCGAATCCTATCAGTGGGCACATTGTTTTTTTAAAGTTTTCACGAGTGTGCAGGCCGGTAGACGAAATAAGCATTGAAAGAAAAAACAGAGCGTCTACTCAAATATGAGTATCCATAAAAAATAACATTTGTCGGATTAAAAAAATAAAATACATTGATTTTTTTTAGAGATACACAAACACACACATATATAATTAAAGGGAAAGGAAATCTTAGCTGACGCGTTTCGTTCTCTGATGGACATTGTCAGGACAATGTGAAGTTAAATGTAAGGATATTATTTTGCAAGAAGTATTTATAAACAAAAGCAAAATGTTCTCTTTGCGTCAAGTCTCTGGGTCCAACCAACGCTTTTATCCCCTGGGTCATGTGTCCTTGACGACATCAGTGAATGAATTTTTGGGACTTATAAACTGAATGTCTCAGTTCATTTTTTTTTACCAGAGCTCATATTAAAATTTTGCGTTTATTATTGTTTTTCTCTGGCACTCCTTGTTACTGGTTCTCATGCATTTCTATGCTTGGCCGGCTTAGGAGATCTCGACGCCAGTCTACTACTCTGCTTAAATTAAAAAAACTCTAGGTATCATAGCGAAGAACCCATCCGAAAATTTACCATGAAAGTATTTCTAGAAAAGACACAGAGAGGCGACCTTACGGCGGTGGGAAAGTGATTGAAGCCGAGACACCAGATCAGGACCAATAATATTGCTGATTCTTCTTTGGATTTTATCAAGTAGCTCAAGGTAAATAGCAAGGGCACCGGACCATATGTGGCAGCAATATTCAAAGCATAGATGAATGGTAGACTTATAAATATGTAAGATAGATTCCGGAGAGAAAAATAATCTCGTAGGACACAGTGGACCGACTTTCTTAGTAGCTGACCTAGTAATGGATTCAATATAGTCTTTCCACTTCTTGTCAGCTGAGAAGGCACGACGAGTCATTTTCCTGGAGGTTAGCATCAGCCATACTGATGGAAGGCAGAGATGGGCTCTCTCTGATGATTAGTTGTTTATAAAAAAAAACTCTTCTAATTGGTGTAATAAATTGTATCAATATATGTTGTGTTATGCATATTTAAATTTATTTAATAATGTTGTGATAATATATAATGTTCTGATAATGTATAATGTTGTGATCATGTCTTATGTATGTTTATTATTTTACCCACACATAATAGTTGGAATAGAACATTCAAGTGTTTTTTTATAGACGCGAATTGATATAAGAATGTGTATCGACAACAAATACTGAAATTCCTATTAAAAACAGAAAAAAACGGCCCTAGCTCAAGGAACTCCATGTTATAATTTGAATGAAATCTGTCATTTTATTCAGTAACGATTCAAAAGAGAGAGAGACAGAGAGACAGATAGACAGACAGACAGACAGAGGATCAGAATGAGTACGAGAAAGAGCTGGAGAAAGAGAGGGAGAAATAGAGTGAAAGAAAGTAAGAGGGAGAGAGAGAGTTATAAAGTGAGAGAGGGCTAAAGAGAGAGAGATAAAGAAAGATAGAGAGCGAGAGAGATAAAGAAAGAAAGAGAGCGAGAGAGAGAAAGAGAGATAGAGAGAAAGAGAGAGAGGAAGAAAGAAAGAGAGAAAGGCTTGGAGAAAGAAAGAAAGAAAGAAAGAAAGAAAGAAAGAAAGAAAAAAGCGAGAGGGAGAAAGGAAGAGAAAGAAAGTGAGAGAAAAAAGAAAGAAAAATATAGAGAAAAAGAAAGAGAAGATAAGAAAGAGAGAGAAAGAAAGCGAGAGCGAAAGAAAGAGAGAGAGAAAGAAAGACAGAGAGAATGCAAGAAAAAAGAAAGAAAGAAAGAAAGAAAGAAAAAGAGGGAGAAAGACGGAGGAAAACAAAGAAAGAGCGAGCGAGAGAAAGAAAGTAAGAAAGCGAGAAAGAGAGAGAAAGAAAGAGAGTGAGAGAGAGAGAGAGAGTGAAAAAGAGAGAATGAGAGAATGGTGTAACGGTTATCGGCTCAAAAAGAGAAATCGAATTCCGGTCGAGTTTGTTACATTTGCATACGTTCAACTACTCTTGTTAAATGTCTGCATTCATCTGTCTCCCCTCCAATGATGGATTAAATATCAGTGTAAACTGAGCTCCTTAGCTTTGTTAGCAACCCCACTGTAAGCGAAGAACAGCTCAGAAATCAGAACTTTAAGGCAGCCTCTTGAAGACATTGTGGTTCATTGTGCACCAGTTTTCTCTTATCCATTCTCCTCAAAATGGTGGCTCGCCTTGCACTTTTAACTTCATTACCAGATTTTAATCCTGGTTGTTTTGTTCTAAGAACTGAATTATCAGGCGTCGAAATCGACAAGAGAATCTACTAGTATATATGCATTCGTATATAACCATCTATTTCAGGGCCTCTCAGCTAATGCCTACGAGCCACATTCCAGTCCTCCAGAACTTATCCAGCCTGTAACAATTAAAGATATTAAAATAAATATCCCGCCTTTCTTATCTACATTAATTACGTAATTGTTTACATTGTCCAGACATTTGCTAATGTTTGACATTTTTACTCGTTGGACATCACTTCTCAGTCGAATGTTGTTAACGTCTGATAAGAAAAGGAGATTAAATTTTTTAAAACGTAAAAAAATTGTTTATTCAATTCTGGCCTCCGCCAAATTAAATTCACCCTAAAAGAGGGTACGTGGTTTCGGGTCTTTTTTTCGAACATGCAGTCTTCTTCTTGTGAGGGCGAGACCGATTCTGCCCTTGCAGGTCTGGCATTTATATAATGTTTACGCCATTAACAGATCAAAGGGCTTACTCCAAAAGTATTGCCTCCTATTTTATTATAATTGTCGACGCCTTTTGAGATGGGTGTTGACCTTATGGCCGGAGATGAACGTCCCGCCAATATTTCATAATTTATTTTACCTTCTTAAAAATACAGCTGAATGGAAGTCTGTCAAAATAAGGTCTGACATGAAAGTGTAAATAGAGATCTTCTTTTTGTACCCTTCAACACGTTCTGAAAGTTTACGAAGACCAAACAAAGGATGGGAGCACAGGTGATTAATTCGTCGTATTTCTGCAATGGTGACTGGGATAAGCCAACAAACGTAGTGTATTTCGATAATGCATGTACAGTGAAAGTGACTATGTGAAAAATTAATGTTTTTTAGTTGAAAATTATTTTATCCAACGAAGTTCCCCTTGTAGTAATCATGAAAATAAATAGGAAGCAGTATTTTTAGAGCATCCCCAGTTTGTGTGTCTGTGTGTCTGTGTGTGCGCGCGCGTGTTTGAGTGTGTGTGAGCGCAACATTATTTTCAAAATCCAGTATATATATTCATATCACTTTACGATTCTTGTATATATATATATATATATATATATATATATATATATATATATATATATATATATTCATTTCATGTATAGATAGATAGATAGATAGATAGATAGATATCGTCTAATGAATATTCTGTTGGAATTATTTTCCTATGGCCTAGCTTAAAGAGCCCAAGGGGTGTGAGGATTGGCTGGTCACATTCGATGCCTGAAAAAAACAAACTAGTGGCATTCCATCATCACCGATCGAACCCAGAACAATCACCAATCGCGATAAACCGATGTTCCCTCAAGGAGGTTCCCGTGATTTGAGCATCTCTTGGGAAGATGGAATCCTGCTGTCATATATGGTCAGGAGTTTTCCAGTCTTCTCTTCCCAGACTCGATAGAACCCCAAAGCCTACAACCCGTTTCCCCATAGACGTAACGTTGCGAGCCTCCCGCTACCCGATCGCTGTTTCCATGGAAAGTGTTCAGACGAAGTACATTCGTTAGTGCCACCAGTTCTTGACTTCACGGCTAGGACTCGCCATGCCACGCCCATTGTAGTGAATCCGCCCCCTCTATTCTCTTCGTATTTCATTGGTGAGTTGTAAGTTTCACTCGAGCAGCTTTTTCCCACGTACCACTGCTTTGTGGAACCGACTCCCAAGAGGATGCTTTCCCGATTATTACAATCTAATAATAATTTTCAAGTTTAAAGTTAACCGTTACCTTCCGCAGATATCGGTATAACCATGCTTCTGTAAAGCTCTACCTCGAGTGGCTCCCTGACCTTATACAGGGTGAACATCATTATAAAAAAGAAAATGTGTGTGTATGTGCGTGTGTGTATGTGTGTGTGTTCATATTATTCGTTACATAAATGTTTCTTCTGGCCGGTTATAGTTGCCAGTTTCAAGTGCGCCGTAGCATGCAGTCATCAATTGACCATGATTACGTTTTACTGCGCGCCTTAAACTAGTAGTAGTGGCCGGCCAGTAGAAACGCCAATTTCTATAAGGAATAATAATCAGTCTCTGTCATTAGACGTGGAGCACACTCTTTTATGTTTGTTTTCGCCTCATATTGAGCGAATTAATTTGTATATATATATATATATATATATATATATATATATATATATATATATATATGTTTTTGTTAAAGACAACTGACAAGGTATTGCGATTAAGGTTTTTATTTAAATTTTCTTGTGTTCATACAATGGACACAAAGTGTCTAAAAAATGCTCAAAAGTTCTAAATTTTCGAGCGCTTTCTTTTAGCCATTATCAAGGGTGATTTTTTTTCAACTAAATATGCTTTTTTTATGTATGTGATTAAAGCTATGTTTTATTTTCCGAACACGGTTAGAATATTATGGCCGTGCTCATAGTGATTGTTATTGAATGTTGACTTTTCCTTTTTTATTATTAGAGCTTCAATTATTTTTAATCCTTTTTTTTTACTCGTGAATGAGATACTTGTATTTTCTACTAGTATATTTCTGTTGGAGTCTGGTAGGTTTTTTGTGTTTAAACGAGTCCTAATGGGGCTATGGTCGGGGTAGGTGTAACTTCAGTCGTCTAGATAGGCATGTAGTGGTATGACCAATGTAATTATTTATGAGTTTCATTTGATCAGGAAAACAGTTTCTTAAGAGGCATTTGAACTCGTAAATAATATTAGTTCTCTGTAGTTTTGTTTTTTCGGGTGTTTTGTTATTTTTGATGATAAGGTTAGTTTTTGTAATATTTTTGGTTATAGATAATTTAATTTTCTTGTTCAGGTCGACTGGGGTTACGTATTTCTTTATTATATTTCTAAGAGAATTGGTTTTTCTTATACTTAACATATATTTAGCTTTTTAGAAGTTAATGTTATTGTTTTTTCTGTATTTTCAGTATCATTATTAGTTACTTTAGAAATAAATAGTCTAATCTGGTGGTCGATGAGGTAGTTAGGAAAACCATTATTAACTTACGTCTGTTTTACATTATTGAGTTCTTTAAGGAAAATGGGACGAGTGGATGAATTCTCGTGTGCTCTCTTTATGAAATTTCGTAACTGCTATTTTATATCTAAGTGGGCATTCATCCTTAAAATTAAGATGGCAACAGTTTCTTCTAGTGGGCTTTTTATATAATAACATGGTGAATCTATTATTACTGAATTCTACGAGAACGTCTAAGAATGGGAGTTTATTTTTTGGACTCAGTTCATAGCTAAAGTTAAGGAAAGTGTCTTTTTCGAACATGGTTTTGAGATTATCAATTTCTTGTTTGTTTTTGTCGCTAAAAATATCGTCTACATTGCGGACATATATTTTGGGTTAAGTGACTTGTTTAAATATTGTTTTCTGCGTGGTACGCACACACACACACATACATACGATAAACATATAGTTTTGAGGCATGCTATATTCAGGGCTAAAAGAGCTTAATATCACGAATATATATATATATATATATATATATATATATATATATATATATATATATATATATATATATATATCCCTCGTATTATAGGGAATAAGTTCTATTTCAAACACAATTACATACCCAAATACATACCATAATTAAAAACGCACAAACTTTATTTTCTATCTAATGACAGACAATATTCCAAACGTGCCATAACGCTTCGACAATGCAAAATCTACCGTTTAAATCAAAGTGTCTATTGCTTAGAAATTATCATTATCACCATGCGAAATATTTGACCAATCAGAGAAAACTAAAACCCAATTTTTCTCTAGCCTAATTTTGGGAATTTTTTTTATAAAAATTCACAGATTTCGGCTTTCAGCGAGCAGCGATGCGACCACCTCCAAGTCATGCCAAACGAAGCATGAGTCAGCGACTTCAAACGAATCATCCCCAGCAATAAAAGTAGAGACGGTCAGTGTATCTTCGCTGACGATCATGTGTCAGCGACTTGAAAAGAATAATCTCCAACAATAACAAAGAAGGTCAATGAATCTTCGCTAACGATAAAAGTCTTTTCTAAACTTCAGGTTTTTCTGTATACCCAAAGACTTTAACTCAATTAAAACTATTTTTACTCTTTTTCGGCTCTTTTGAATTCGTGAACATATGTTTGTAAATACAAATGATTTATTTAACTGGCATGAGACCATGTCTCCTTTATTTCTATTTTATTGTTGTTTGGAATTCAGACGTTTGGATTTTTAATATAACAAAACCTAGATGACGGAATCTGCTAGAGTATCGCATGTGACTTAGTGGCTAATAATTACAGTGTATAGATGATATACATTGTTGCAAATTTTATATATATACATTGTAAGCAGATTTTACATGTTAACCTATATGGTATGGTTATTGTGTTAAGTCAACTCTCCTTCCCGCGCTTGGCTGGTCACGTGACTCTTAATGTTCAGTCAGTGAAGCCCAGTCTGTATAGCGAACACTTTTAATTTGACAAAAAAGATGCTCTCCGTATACATGGTTAAAACAACTATCAACACAAAGTGCCGGACTTGTGAGTAAAGAGACATTTTTGGCATTACACTAGCTTTCTTTTTCTGAGTCGGGGAGAAAGTATATTTCTACATTTTTACACTTTCTTAGCATATTCTCTTTCTAGGAATTAAAAACTTCATTTACGTTCTTTCACTTTCTCCTTATCCGTCATCATTTCTTCATTTTCAATGTCTG